TTTATGCAAAAGTCTGTGCTCCGGCCATTAGTCCGTGGGCCAGACTCTATATATAGGGACTCTAGGGGTGTTTACGATAATTCAAGTTCGAGTTAGTTTCACTAGGACCGAAAAATGAGATAGACATAACCATCTAGAATCTTTATGATTTATGACAACTCAACGCTGTCTTGTATTGCTTGAGTTAAATTAATTGAATTTGTTGAGTTTATAGAGCAAATTTTATTGTAATAAAAAAATGTCAACTGCAAATCAGTCTATGAAAGAAACAAATAATGTTGGTATGTATGTGTTGGTATACTTCTTTAATAGATATAATTATATATATATATGTATATAATTATATTTATTAAACTGAACAAATTCAATGAATTTAACTCAAGCAATACAAGACAGCGTTGAGTTGTCATGAATCATAAAGATTCTAGATGGTTATGTATATCTCATTTTTCGGTCCTAGTGAAACTAACTCAAACTTGAATTATCGTAAACACCCTAGGTCCGACATCGGACGATATCCAATAATAGAGCTTGTTTTCTAGACGATAAAATATCTCTAGCTAAAATTTCCAGAAAACAAGCTCTATTATTGGATATCGAACGCAATGTGAATCTTCCATGAATCCAGCAATATGATGTTTATACGTGTATATACGTATTGGCTAGTTAGATATCGGCACAGATATTCGCCATATTACTTTCTTACCAATAGTGACACTGGCTTAAGGTCGCGCGGATTAATAGCATTGTCGTGCTGGCGTGCATGTGGGATGTTTCCCGTGTTTCAATAATTGTATACTGTGATTGATGTTATAATGTAAAATTGCGAAAACTGTATGAAAATAATAATCACAGGCATTAAATCGCAGAGACAACGCAACAATCATGTTGGTACTATTCGAGACTCCGGCAGGATATGCTATCTTCAAGGTAAATCGAATATTTAAAGTGAACATTATAACCTTAATAACCACGTGTTTTACTTTTTATGAGTATCCATGTGCACTTTTGATAAAAGTATTTCATGAGATTTTGAACATGTCGTCGAAATTAAACGATTTTTTGTTTGCAGTTACTGGACGAGAGTAAACTCGCTAGGTCGGAAAACCTTTATGAAGATTTTGAGACTCCTGAAACCGCTAGTAAAATGTAAGTATTTTTTATTTGATTCATTTAATATTTGCGATTTGAAGAGATTTATAAAATTTAATTAGCATTCAATATAATTTTATAATAGAATATATTTAATATGTTAGAATATAGAATATATATATTTAAAACTTGATAATATTTTAGCAGGTAAGATACGAAAATAATTAAAATTATGAATAAATAATAATATTGAATCAATAGTAATATTGAATTTAGTCGTTATTATCAAAAAACGTAGAAATTCGTAAACCCACGTAAAACCTCGCTTTGCGTAGAAAGTATATGCATGGAGGCAGTGTC